GGGGAAGTATCTTCAAAGTGGCTTCCCACATGCACTAGCTCCTGCTTGCCCACCCCCTTCACTAGTGCTGCTGCCTCTCTGTCAGAGGCAGCAGCAAAGGGACAGGAGAGTTGGCTCCATGGGAGCCAGGTGCTCATGAGTAGCTGGCTTTTAAGCTAGCTTCCCTGAGCACTGGTTCCTACCTCTTCCCCCTCCCGCACATGCTGCTGCCTCTGTGGGAGGCAGCTCTGCAGGAGCTGGTACACAAGGGGAGCAGGCTTAAAAGCCAACTCTCCATGTATATCAGCTTCCCTTCTCCCCCCCTCCCCAGATGCATGTAGTCATTAGAATTAACAATAAACCCAGGTTTATCTGTTAATTTGTAATCGACTACACACTAACATCCCTAGTAGAAATAGTTGTCTGCCACTACTGGGAGTTATTTTGGATGAAGGGAGTGGAACAGGCAGACTCCCAGAACAGTTTGTGACCAGCAGCAAAGTAAAGCCAACAAACCATTGTCAGTTTTATTGCTCCTTTTTAGAATGTTTCAGCTATTGTATATCTCAATGAGAAAATCTCCATGTTTGTTCATTGTGTAACTAATGGTTCTGCTTGCTTTCCGGGGGAAGCTTTTTACTGCCATTGGTGAGTGAGTGCCTTTTTTAGCTTGTATGCTTTAGATAACGACTGTTGTCATTTATATTGACCCTTGTACTGGGGATGTTAACTATAGGTTAATTGACTTAATTGAGTAGTCAATGGAATTTCCATGGACTACTCCATTAGTCAATGAGGGGGGGAGACCTCCAGGCTCTTACTACTTTTAAAGTGCAGATCCACAGTGGGGTTAGGTCCTGGGGGCAGTGCGAGCCAGCCAGTGTAGTGCGAGCGGTGCTGAATAGTCCTGGCTTGTGCTGCTCCTGGGACCTGTGGCTTTGCCTTCTCTGCCCTTGTCCTGCACGGTGGGAACAGTGCTGAGGGAACTGGCTTTTTTACTGGCTTCCCCAGTACTAGTTCCTGCTTTTCTCTCACTTGATGGCTCTGATCCAGAGGCAGCAAGGGGAGGGGGGAAGCAAGTAGTCATAGTCACTTGGCTAGACTCTTACATCCCTAACTTGTACCTTCTTGACATTAAGAAATAAAATTAAAAAAATTATTAAAAACACATTAAACATTCACAAACTGGGAAAAACAGTTTGGGCAAGAGCTGTGTAAATCACTTGGTTATTTCCTTATGTTCTTTCTCCATAAACGTTCAGCTGTGAACTGCTCATAATGGGCAAAGATTAAAATCTTCAAATAGTGGGGAGTCTTTTTTATAATCGTCATCATTGATTTTTTTTTTGTTAATCTTGGTGTTCTGAAATCTAATGGTTATATTTTACTGAAAATTGATGAACGACTATAGCTATGTCCAAAATATCAGATTTAACTCACTCTATAAATATTTGAATGAATAGCCTTTTTTGTGCCTGCCTAATTTTTAAAAAAAAAATTATTAAAAATAAATTCCGGAGTTTAATTTATATAGAAGTTCAATTGCTTCGACAAAGGTTTGATGTCATAGTTTAGTGCAGAATTTCTTCAGACGGATTATAAACACTTCAAAACTAGAGATTTATTATAGAATCAGTGGGAGAATCTAACTACAGCTGCTAGCAAATGCTTCTGTAATAAAACATTTTGTCCAAATAGATTCTGTCACCCTGTGAATGTGAGGTGATCACCCAACTTGTAGTAGTTACGTAAACCAAACTCTGTTAACCTTTCATTTAGGGCTAAAGTGCCGTGATCACTACTACATGGATTAAAATAATCGTATGAGTGCATGATAACGGGAAATGTAATCTGATGTACTGCAGATAATTGAAGACTATCTCTATAGATAGCTTTTCCCTTTATTAGATCTAATTGTTAGCAATGGTGCATGTAGTCACTTTTAATATTGATAGTCCAACCTATATGTAGCATAAAGAAAAAGTAATTTTGATTAATTTTATTTTAAGCATTTTTCAGAATGATCATACAAATAGAATGATCACATTCAGTTTGTGATTTTAAAAAGACTTGTTTTGTTTTGTGGGTAGCATTAGTGTGACATCTTAATGTTAGCTCATCATTTGAATTGGAACCAAGTTGTGCTGTTTAATATTGTCTGGTCATAAAGTTGCTTAGAATGGTAGCAGTATGTCCGTTCTATAGCTGTGAATGTAATAATTAGCAATCTTTTCTACAGAGCAAGTACATACATGTACCAGCTGTATTTTTTTTCTATGAAGGTGGCTGGTCAGGATGTAAAAAGTACTTTAAAAATGTAACTGTAACTGCTAAAAATCCTAATGGATATTCCTGCCGTACCTGCTCCCAGGGAGGCTTTGCTGAATACAGTACTGAAGAGCCCACAGTGAAGCTTCCCTGGGAGCTGCCGGCTCTGCTTCTGGGAAGGCTTCGCTGCGTGCTGTGCAGTATTCAGTGAAGCCTCCCTGGGAGTGAGTCCAGCAGGCTGCCACAATGAGACTGGCAATGGCTCCCTCTCCCGGGGGATATTCCTGCCGTACCTGCTCCCAGGGAGGCTTTGCTGAATACAGTACTGAAGAGCCCACAGTGAAGCTTCCCTGGGAGCTGCCGGCTCTGCTTCTGGGAAGGCTTCGCTGCGTGCTGTGCAGTATTCAGTGAAGCCTCCCTGGGAGTGAGTCCAGCAGGCTGCCACAATGAGACTGGCAATGGCTCCCTCTCCCGGGGAGCC